TTTTGTGTTCCACAGTAGAAACTCATACTCATTTGGAATGACACGAGGGTGGGTAAATGATGACAAAAGCTTTATTTTTGAGTCATCTATCACTTTACGTAGTGACTGGTCAGTGTGAAAGGTGTGTCGATTGGGTTCATAGCAAGATGCTTAAAATAGCATTCATCACAAAGCAGGCTTGTTTTTACTAGCCTTGAGTTTTCATTGGGCAGACTGGAGACATAAGGTCTGCAATGTCCCCAAAGTCCTGTTTATCTCCCCTTTCTTTTTGTGCTGGGAGGAAATAGTTTTTTTTTTTTTTATTAGGATGTTAAAATCATAAGACAACAGGAGGAGCACATGTTGTTGACTATTCCGAGAAAGCCTTCCTCAGCCAAAGTACTTGTCATTTTGCTTTCTTTTATGTAATTTATAGCCCTTCATACCTTTAATTTCGTGGAGACATTGTGCTTTTTATGGCAGAATTGTGGAGAAACCACATGGATAGTTTTCACTATACTCGAGTACAGGAGAATAGCCCTTGACATGTTGAGCACTTGGCCACCTCACGTGCATGTAACTCGATCCTGACATTGGCAGTGTACCGTGTAACATTTTAGACATTAGACAGACAGCCTGGATCTATGGCCACACCTCGCCCTTCCAGGTGGCGCATAGACACTGGAATGTCTTTGTGCTGCCCGGTGGCACTTCAGCATTCGGATAACTGCTTTCGTTTTGCTGCTTTTTCCACGTAATGCAAAAGAGGTACTTGTTAATGAGTCACTGGATTCGAAACAGGTTTTACAGCTGTGCTTTTATGTAATAACAGTGTCTTGGCCAACCCCAGTGACATTGGACTCCAGTGGCCATGTTGTTTTCTCAGAGCGACGGTCTCAGGGCACTAAAATGAGACCCAACGGAGAGACTTTTTGAGGGATAGTACAATTGCAGTCTTTGTCCTAAAAATAGCTTAGTATGTTCTGACCAACATAGTCCAGAAGAATAAGCTATATAAAAAAAACACTCCTTATGCAACTTGTCTCTATTACAATTGTCATGATCACTTAAAGACGAAACAATAGAATCCAGTTTTTAATGGTCTGTATTACTACATGGTTTATTAGTCAAGCTATAAATGTTTCTTTATTACACTATAAGCCAATGGCACCATGACCAGCGAAGAGGCTGAAGCCACTGGGATTCTCTCATTGCAGGCAGACAAACGGGCACATCACAATGCGCTGGAGCGCAAACGTAGGGACCACATCAAAGACAGCTTTCACAGCCTTCGGGATTCTGTTCCCGCCTTGCAAGGGGAAAAGGTTGGTGAATGTCACTGGTAAAACCATGAGGAGAATAAGTAGGCATAAAGGATGTTTGTTTCATGTGCTTTTTGTTAATGAAATGTCTGCTGTTACACTGAATATGTTTGTTGAATGCGATGACTTTAAATGTTATCATGAGATGATTAGCATGGGATTTCCATGTTGAGGTGTGAATGAAAAGCATTATGAGAACTGGGAGCAGGGTAGGGCCAGACTGATCGATGTGATCCTGGTACAGGTGTGGTGCCAGGAAGCCATTACAAGGGGAAATGCGGTTACGCCTTCCTCTTGTGTTTCTTATCGGAAATAAATGGTTCAAGAATGTAGTAGAAGTCATTTTTGACCGCTATGATAGAGCTGTATTTCTAGTCACATGACTAGGAATGCACAATATATTGGTACCATATTGGTTATTGGCTGATATAATCTTTAAAAGCATGATTAATAATTTAATAATACTGTTAAATGTAATCTTTAACAAATCTTTAGTATATCTATTTGTACTGTAAATTATAATGTTGTGATGTCAGAGTTTAATTTAATATTTTTAAGTGTTTCGAATTTTGATTGTATAGACACATTTTGTCGAGTTTTCAGCCATTTATTGGTTATCGGTCATAACATGAACAATTTTGGCTTATCAGTGTTGGCCAGAATTTTCTAAATGTGTAGCTATTAAAATAGGGGATTTTTAAGCAGTTTGTGTGTTTTCATTTGGGATTGTTAAGCCCCAGGTATACTTCACATTTTGTCGAGTTTTCAGCCATTTATTGGTTATCGGTCATAACATGAACATTTTTCGCTTATCAGTGTTGGCCAGAATTATCTAAATGTGTAGCTATTAAAATAGGGGATTTTTAAGCAGTTTGTGTGTTTTCATTAGGGATTGTTAAGCCCCAAGTATACTTCACTTTTTACACGTGCGCGAGGAACAGCATACAGTCTGCGTGATGTGTATTTCGTAATCAGAATAGTACGCGCACAACCTGATTTTTTGTAACTGCACGTACTTTGCACACATGCGCATTAAATTTGTTTTGCAGTAATCAGTTGTTCCACAAGGTGGCAACGCTGTCCCAGGCTGTTGTTTCACAGTAGAAAACGAAACTAAAGAGACGGAACAAAAACAAAATAGTGGTGACTGCAACAACAACAGACGGGCGCATTGTCAAGCACTTGTGAGTGAGAGGGAATGGGATAGCCCAGCTTTGGTTTAAAAGACTTCAAAGAAATTTGTTATCATCGGTTATGAATTATGGGCAAAAGTAGAGCAGACGCTGGACATGGATGAAGCTTTCTATAGCGCATGTGTCGACCGCCCGCATTCCCGCACAACATTAAATGGAGGATACTTCGAAAGGCTACGCGTTCAACTACTCATACGCTAGCGTACGCGTACAAAAACGAAGTATACTTTGGGCTTTAGGATTTGTTTGGGTTAATATGTGTGCAATGTAACTGCATTCCTTGCGTCAAATTCTAGTTTTTAATTTGTTGCTGACAGCAATCTATCAAACAGGCATCCCGAGCTCAAATCCTAGACAAAGCCACAGAGTACATCCAGTACATGCGACGGAAAAACCACACACACCAGCAGGACATCGACGACCTGAAGAGGCAGAACGCTCTGCTGGAGCAACAAGGTGGGTGTCGCTGCGTTACTCCTCACTTTTGTCATCTGGTCATGCTGATCTAAGTCTAATTTGGCTGTTGTAGTTCCATTGTGCCTCATACACCATATGATTTCAGGCAAAAAGAATGAAGAATGTGTCGTTTTCTCTTTTTAATTTCCAGTACGGGCACTGGAGAAAGTCAAGGGGACCACACAGCTGCAGGCCAACTACTCCTCTTCAGACAGCAGCCTGTACACCAATCCCAAGGGCAGCGCTGTATCGGCCTTCGACGGTGGTTCCGACTCGAGCTCGGAGTCTGAGCCGGAGGAACAGCGTTCCCGGAAGAAGCCCCGTGGGGAGGACAGCTAAACAGCGGATCCCCGGTTCTCCTCTGAGGGGAGGGAGAGTTACAGCAATGGTCTGTTTCTTGTTGTTTTTTGTGTACCTCAATCGCCCCAAACCACCTTGATCAATCTCTTTCAGTGAATGTCAACCCTCGATTCCACGCCTGAAGAAACCTCTGCCAGGTTTACAAGAGAGAGGGACGCCTGTTACGGGAAGAACACTCGCGGAAAACGGCTTGTTTTTACTCTCCCTCCCTCTCCGACTCTTGTTCGTCCATCTTGCGTCCTGGCACACGCAACAACAAACGATGATTTAAACCCAAAATGAGGCAGCTTTGCAACTTAAGGACTTGATGCTTTGTTTTTGTTTGTTTTTTTGAACCCTTGTCTGCAATCCCTCCAGGTGGATATCCAAAGGGTTGAATGAGGCATACAGCTCCTAGCACTGCTAAAATATACTTTTTTGTCGAATATCTTAAAGCCTGCTTAGAACTTACCCTTAGCTGAATTGTCCCGAGTGGTTTGCCTTTCTAAATATGTTACTTTTCCATAAAGGAATGTTTTTGAAGCATCTATCAATGTACCCCTTGTTAGACCTAGGGGATGAGTGATACGTTTTGACGTTATCGATAAAATCCCTTATTTAAAAAATACAAAAAACAAAAAAAATGCTTTATGGGAAGGCTGCTGAGCTTGTGTTGTATTTGTTGTTTTAGCCTGATGTAGTAAAGTTTAGAGGTTGGGGAAGAAAATAGATTTTCTTTTAAAACAAGGGGGATAAAAAAATAAGTGATAAAGCATATATATTGCATCTGTCATCTGAGCCTCCCAAACATGTATTTTATGTATTTCACTCCATATTGGGAATATAAACGTTCCAAGTGATGTTTCCCCCCCACAAAGCTAGTCAATATTGAAAGAGTAGATTCATGTCGTGACTTTTAAAGGTAAATGTTCATCGGAAATTTGATCGCTGCACACCACAAAAGTTGCATTTTGAGTGTCTAGGAGACATGAGTGTGTGTGTGCGCGTGTGTATCTTTTACCATATTTTCCACTTAGTACATTAGTAAACTGAGTAGGTCTTTCTTTGTCTGATTCCATTCCATGGAAATTACAGGTATGTTGTACATACTGCCAACAATTGTCTTGCAAGTTGAGGCCTACCTTTACAATGAGAATATAAATAAAACTATTTTATCCTTTACATATGATGTGTGGTTCCTTTGGTTCTCAATCTTTTTGACTCCAAGGTCCCAGTCGTCCACAACACATATTGAAGTCTATAACTTTTCTAGATGTTTGTGATTTACTGCCTATGGATTAAGGACAAGGATTTTTAAAAGTATATTTTACTTGCAATTTCTACCAGATTAAATATTTTAGAGCTTGGCATTATATTCGTTGGCATATTATGTTAATATAATGCAATCCCAATGGGCATTTTTATATGTGACCTTTTCAGGTCCAAAAATTACACTTAAAAAAAAAGTTGTTGAAGGGGTTAAATTTTTTTTACTTTTTTTTAATGCCTTTGTCTTTAAATCTATTTGTCAACACAAAGACTCCTAGTTTGCCCTGGCCTCCCGATTAGGGGAAGAAAGTGGTTGCTATTTTAAACCGCACCAATATTTTATGAAACTGGTCTTTAAGTCAATAGTTACAGCTTGAATTGATTTTTCTATTACTGAAATAAATGAACTTTTCCACGACATTCTAATTTATTGAGATGCACCTGTACTCAGTCATGTTTCCAACCTGTATGACTTTGCTAGAGTTTTCAAACACTTAAGCTCAGATACTAAACTCAAAAACCGGCACACACAAAAAAAAGCACCATAAAATTAGTCTATATTATGTGTGTGCTTTAATCAAAGTCTTGTAAACCAGATGTGTGAAGCTTTGTGTAAGGAACAAATAAAATTTAATTGATTTCGTTCCCCTCCATCGTAGCTCTCAAATTTCATTCATACTGATGCATATTCATATGCTCACATCAGGAGATGCCTTCACCCCATTCATTTTTGGATTAACTGTTCCTTTAATGTACTATGATAAAATGCGATTCTGTTTTGATATTTTATACCAGCATTTTAAGATTAAAAGCATGACTGAATACAGTTTAAAAGCTCATTGAACAGCACAGATGATATTTTTCAATTGCAGCCAAAGATTACAAAATGTAAACACTGTACTCATGGCTGAGTAGCTGAGAGTCTGTTGTACCCAAACTATATCTACGTATTTGGCAGTTACCATATTAATTTCAGTCAAACAGCACTCCAAATTAGAGATGACAGAAGTTTAAGTCAAATAATGGACTGCCCACAGTGAGTATAGATCATCCACAATACACCAGCCAGGATATATTAAAAACAAACTTCCATCCAAGTCTTTATTTCTGTCCAGAACCTACTGCCACGTGCACTCTGGGAAACATTTACCAAAGCCCAAAATAAGCTGGTATGTGCAATAAAATATCAATCAACGACTGGTGCATGAAAAACACCTCGCCTAGTCAGTCTCTACTGTTTTCCCTGGCTAAAACCCATAACCCCATGCTGAAGCTGTAGTAGATCAGACCCTCAGAGTGTTTCCCCATCTGTAGATGCTATACAGACCAGCAAAGGACGTTTGGCTACAGCATTTACAGAAGATGCCTCTGCGTTAGGTCAAGCTAGCTCAAACCCCCAAAATACGTTTAGAATAGAAAAAGAGGAAAAGTCTATGACTGGTCCATTGCACTTGGTGTAGGTCCTGTCTGAACTGGAACAGGCAACCGGTGGAAATGTTCAATCGCTTGGGCGACCTTCTCTGGGCAGATGTTGTAAACTGGATGAGTTGGTGCCTGGTAGAAGAAATATGAGAACATTTAGTTAGTATTAGTACATTAATCTCAATTAGAGTTGGCTCAACTGAATTTTCAGTATCTCTCACCAGTCTGTTCTCGTCCTGACCGAGGATCAGCTCGTTGTGGAGGTCTTTGTTTCCGAAATGCTGTGCTACTGAGAGTCCGCTCAGACAGTAGCACGTGTGGTAGAAATCTCTAGACCTGTGGGGAATCAGTGAGGAACTATTATGAAAGTCTAGTTTGGTCTGCATAATTAGTAAAAGGACAGATTTTTTCAGATTTTAAAGTTTAGTTTGATCCACAAGGTTAAACAAGACCAATTTTCCATGACCTTTCCAGGTAGATGTTTGTGGTTTTGTTCGTTACTGCAAAAGGATATTTACAAATCATTAAAAGTCCTGTTTGTGATTCATTGAAAACAATCAATTCAAAAGAATGATTCACTCACAAATTTGACATCACTACAGAGAGTTTCACTCCACACAAACTCTAGATGAGCATTATCTAGCTGATGAAATGTTTTAGAGCAGAGCAGAACTAGAAAATGCATTTTCATGATAAAATTTGACATGCCTTATGACTGAAGTATATAATAATCTAAACTTCATAAATACATTTTCTCCTCCAAGAAAATACAACAAAATTTGTATATACTTAATTTTACTGGTATCATAATGATATATGATTTATAAAACAAGCTAAAAAAAAAAAAAAAAAAAAACATTTCTAATGTTTAATTCACTCCCCTCAACATTTTGTTCCCTTGAAGAACCAGGGTTCCCACCATCTTGAAACTGGATATACTGTATAAGGACGTCTAATTTTAAAAGTGTGATTTTTACATTTATTACATTTACATTTTGTGAACATTTTTCAAGTTATGCAAAGCTTTAAGATATTGGGTAGCAATTGTGATTAAAAATATTTTTTAAAATCCTTATCCAGGAAATCACAAGAAACTGGAAAGGTCATGGGGCCTTCAAATATAATTTCTTTGTGATAATCCCAAAGTTTGAGAATCTGACTTTTCATTCGACACATTACTGGTGATATCATTGCAAGCTTATAGACTGTATTATATATATATATATGCATGTAATATATGTGTGTGCGGTGGAAGAGCTGTACTCACTTGCCCGGTTTGTCCAGAAGGCCTCCACCAGGATTCTGGCAGCAGAGGAGGATGTATTCCTGCAGAGCCTCTCTCTCAAACATCCAACTACTCTCACTCAGCGTTGAGTCTCCTACACACAGTAATATTTTCATAGGTTAATCTACTAAATCTGACACTAGACCCATGTGTTTTTATATCCAAATGAAGACAAAAAGTACATTGGAAAAAACATGCAGACAAAAATGTGTAAATTAATGAGTGGAAACTGTAACCTTATGAACCTTGTAGTATTTTAATCACTTGATAATTGCTAAACGTTTCATATATAAGCAAAAATGCTCACCTTCTTTAAAAAGAGCCCTGTGGAGTAACGGTAATAGTCCTGCTTGCCAGAAGGAGTAACACCCATCCACCAGCTTGTTACAGCGGCCCTGAAATCCACCTTCAAAACGCATTTGTTTGCTGGTTACCCAGCGCTAATGAAGGAAAAAGAGAGAAAAGCCTCCAATTTACTGGTTTACAAGTATCAGCATAGGAAGATTATTAGTGCTGTTGCCTTATCGTTAAGACAAATCTGCCTGTGCACTGGGACTGTTTATGTCAATGTCTGCCAAAGACCCTGGAGATCTGCTGATCTAAGCATCTACGATGTTGCAGCACACCGACGTTAATATTTCCAAGCATGTTTTAGTGTCCCTGAGGAACCGGTAATGAGACGCTTCTCCTCCAACATTCAGGATACACACAACTGACCTTTAACGCATCTCATAAACCTCAGTTTATTCACTCTAATGGACAGGAAGAGTCAGGTTTAATAAAAGGTGGAACTGTAGCAAAGGGAAAACAAGGCAAGACAAAGGACTTACTAACAAGGCTTTGAGATCCAGCATATGTTCTTTGCCCAGTATGACCAGAGCAGCAGTACCACAGAAGGTGTAGCCGCCATGTGCCTCAAGTCCTGGAACTCCACCTAAACCGCCCTCCCAGTTCTGACAGCTGAAGGCCAAAGGAAAGCACAGCATCGCAGTATTTATCAGTCAAAGTATTGTCATTATGTGTGCTGTGTCTGAGATTTAACTCACTTAGGGACAGAACATGCTTTTGTGTTTAAAACGTGAAACAGAGGGCAGTGGAATGGGACAAATTAACGTTTTTTAACTTGTGTCGCATTTTTAGGATGTGTCATGCGCAAAAAGACGTGAATGGTCTAAAGTGTCTGTCTAGATTAGAGCATGTTTACATAGAAAAAAACATGGAAAAGCAGATCAGAAGAATGCAAAACATGTTCCGAGTGAATAGCCCATTAAAGCCTAATAAATTATATCAAAATGTTTTTTTTCCTAAAAAAAAACCATAATTAGTTTTTCTTTACAACCAGGGTGGCCATATGTGCCATTTATATGGGACACGTCCTGGCCAGGATTTTTATATTGCCTAAAACATCCAAAGTAGTTTGACCAATAACATGCAGGTATTGTACATAATCGACCAATCGTGGCACGTCGCGCGTGAGAAGGTGAGAATGATCAAAGCGATGCAAATATGCGCACATGTAGGAGGAGCCGTCTGCTCTGCTCTCTATAGCTCTCATGAAATAATGTCATACAACGATCGATCTGCACAGTGCTAACAGCCAAAGCCTGGATATTTTGGGCAATATAGAAATCCTGGCAAGGGTGCGTCCCGTAAAAATGCTCCGTATGGTCATCCTAGTTAAATGGGATCACATCAAATTTATATGATCATATATTTTATCAAACCTCAATATTTGATTTTGTATACTTAATTATACAATATGAATATAAAGCTAAATAGAAATATGAAAAAACTAATGAAAGTCACAAAACCACATATAATTATTAAAACTTACATTAAAATTATATTATATTATATATATATATATATATATATATGATAATTCAAGACATTAACAAACTCTATAATTGAACATAAATAATACTATTATATAGCTGGCCTGTTTTAAAAGAATGTGGAAGTAGCTACCTGAGAATCCAATTGTGCGTCCCATCAAACAGGGTGGGGGTGATTATATTGGTGAGTGAAGCCACAGAAGCGGCACAATATGCACTCCTATCAGATCAGACACACACACACACACAAGAGCAACCACGAGTCAACAGGCACACAATGATCACCATCTATGCATGTTAATAACCACAAGCTACATTATTAGAATAAGCCTGAAAGCCTGTGAGATCCAATTACTTTTCAAAGTGACTTTCTTTGTTTAGCGCTGACGTACGGTGAACATGAAGCATTTTTCTAGCACTAATCTGTCTGCTGGGAAAAGTAAAAGGTCACTCTTGAAAAATGCTTCAGCACAGTAACAGCAGAACATGGGGAATAAAGAGATGTGTGGCTGTTGTGAAGATGTTTCAGGGTTCACTGGAACAACGGTGGTAGAGCTCACCTGACGTCCACTTCCCCGCCCACATGCATCACAAAGGAGCCATCTGGCTGCTTCACAGAGTACAGGAAGTCCAGGAGCTTCTCTCTGATGAGGGAGGAGGCAAACAGAATGTGTTTCCATGGTAATATGATCAACGTAACATCTGTAGGCAAGCAGGTGATCATACAACGCAAACGTGAAACCTGTTGATGACTTTGTAGGCCTCCTCTGTACCCAGGATGCACAGGGCGTTTACAGCTGCGTAGGTGGGAGCCAGGTGAGCGTGTTGACCCGGACCGCCACCGAACCCACCTGTCGCACTCTGACATCTGGCCAGGAACTGGCACACGCTGGCAGACAACGGTTAATGTTGATATAGGCATATAAATGTGATAGGAACTTAAAATTTAAGCAAAAAGCCATATACTAAAATAATAAGGGAAGCAGCTTTATTTTAAAACATTATTTTCAAGTTTTCATTGATAACAGATAAATGACAGATATTGAAATTCTATAATATCTTGTTTAATTAAATTAAAAATAAATAACTAAAAACTAAAATTATATTGTACAGCATAAAAAATGCAAAATGAACATGATTAATTAAAAATGAAATATTGACAGATATAAATAGATTTAGAAAAATCTCTTAAACGCATAATCTCCTATATGAACTACATAATGCAATTCCCTAAATATATTAAAGTCAAATTTGCTATTAATGCTGTATAAAACTGATCACTCTTTTTTGCTAAATTATCACTTTCAAGAAAAAAACTATTTAAAACACTATAGAATACAGTAACAATCATAGCAAAAATATGACTGCGAAAAGACTGTGTTACCGTCATTTGAATTATTATTATTTTTTTTTTATTATTTCAGTCTGTTTGGAAGTAGTAGTAGTAGTATATTTTTATTTAATGCCATGCCAGCATCTTAGGCTATTTTCATGGCAAAAACTATTTAAAAAATACAAGTATAACAAATACAATAAAAACCAGCAAACAAACAAACGTCTGTTTGGAAGTCATAAACCTTCATAAATCCTTCAACCCAGCAGCTATAAAGCAATCTAAGCATAGTCTGCATGGAGAAAGAATGCATCTGCGTCATAGCTACTAATGTAATGCAACTTTGACTTTATCTGTAGTGGTCACATTAAGACCAGGATAGTAACTGTGTAAGGGGACCTAAGCACCTGTCTCACTGCCACATGTACTCTGATAGTGAACTGCAGAGAAGAGCTGGTACTCACTCTGAGGCAACTGCTGCCGGCACAGGCTCCTCTAGCAGCTCCAGACTGTGCAGGATCCAGTAGCAGAGCCAAGGCCGGCTGGCATCCAAACACTGAAGCCAGACAACATGCAGATTCAGCAGCCATTACCACCAGTCTCACACACAGAGCTGCTCTGGAACATGGTGTTCTCAAACAAATACACACAAAAACTAGAAGCATGGTGTTCTCAACTACCTACCCACCCACATACACAAGTATTGTATCACAAGGCTGTAGATCTTTAATAGCTTTGTGTAAACCAGTTTTGAGTGTTTGTGTTATTAATGAAACAAAACAGTTTTTTTAATATCCAGTTAAATGGGGTTCAACCAAAAATAAAAGCACTGTCATCATTTACTCACCCTTGTGTCACTCCATCCAAACCTCTATGACTGTATGACTTTTTAACGTCAAACCCAAAATGAGATATTTAGCTGAATATCTAAGCTGCTCATCTTATGTCAAAATAATTTGTGATTATTCTCATGATTTTCAACCAGTCTTTTCTTCGATTCTTTTTCCACATTGTACCTTTTTTTGTTTGTTTTCTACCTATATGAAATTAAGTCATACAGGTTTGGAATGACATGAGGATGAGTAAATAATGACACTATTTTAATAATGTGTAAACTATCCCTTTAAGTCAGTGCTATTATCTTTTACTAGAAACTAAAACCATAAAAACACTTGCATTACTTAAAAATAAATATAAACTGTCTGAAATAAAATAAAATACAAAAAAAAAACTCACAAGTTGAAAAAAAAACCCCTAAAACATAATAAGACATATTATAAAGGTATACTATTAAGACATAAAAAAAAAAAAAAACAGAAAATATAACAGTAACATCTGACTCAAAATATTAACAAAAACTATAATAGTAAGTATATCGGTGATACTAAAACAACACTGCTTCAAGTTCAGTCAGAAGTTTTCAGAAGACATTGTTTACCTCATATGCATCAGAGAGATGGCGTAAACCTTTCTTCAGATAATGATAGTGTTGCTCCCTCAGTAAAGCAGGGCTGAAAAAATAGATTGTAGAATCATCGACTTAATCATCTTATTTGAGTCTAGCTATTGCAAACTATAAATCATTTTTACATTAAACGTATCTCTCTATTCACATACTGGCAAATGATCAAATTCAACTTTCATCAAGATTTATAATAGCCTAGTACAAGGCAACAACTTATTTGTACAAAGTTCGTTCAATAACTGAGCTGACATCCTCCAATTATCCCCATCAAAGGAAGTGGCAGTGTTAAAATGATAGAGTGCATGAGTCAGAACAGCCTACACGCAGTATGCTTGACTTCAGCGCTGGCTGCAGAGGTGCTGGGGCATGTCTAATTTGAGGGAACCTCAGCTGAAAGAACAGATCATTAACCCCTGTTCTTTCTCTCCTCTGCTGCTTTCTGCTGGGCCACAGAAAGCACAGTCATTACATTTGTGACAAACAGATCAGAGTGACGTATGGCCTTCACCAGGCAAGTTTCATATGAATTAATGCTTTTGTTGACAAATTTGTTGCACTGTTTTGCAGGATAATTTATTTGTCCTGTCATGCCTAAAATTAAGTGTAATTAAACTGACAGTCTTTAAAATGTCATTTATTCCTGCTTACTCCAGTCTTTAGTGTCACATGATCCTTCCGAAATCATTCTATGCATTATATGCTGATTTGGTGCTCAAGAAACATTTCTTATTATTAACAATGTTGAAAACAGTTGTGCTGCTAAAAACTATGTAGAAACTGATTTTTTCATTGGTTCCTTGATGAATTGAAAGTTAAAAAGAGCAGCATTTATTTTTCTTTTTTATGATCAATTTAATGCATCCATGCTGAATAAACATATTCATTTATACTAGCCCCAAACTTTTCAACAGCCGTCTATACTTCTTAATTTATGTAAAAATGATTTACCATTTACAACACTACAAGAACATATTGTCATTATCATATTACATGCAATAAACTGTAAGCATAGTGCTTACAAATGTGTTTTTCCAGTTTTCTCATTGGAGTGCAAAATTAGAAAAGTTGTAAATTTGACAACAGAGGCAAAAAGTACCATCTGGATATGCGGCAGAACAGCTGATGTGCTACTACAGCATCTAGTCCAAATGTCTGGGGTATACAACCTTTGTCTGGCAGTCTGATTACATCAGTTTAATCACAGTTGGGTTTCTCATTTCATCTACAGGTACAAGTACTCTGAGCATAGAAGTTCTGAAATACACAGACCTCATGCTGTGGTGGAAGAAGGTGAAAATTAGATATACCAGAGGCTAGGGCTGGGTGATATATCGAATATCAGAGATGTTATCATATGATAGTCTAATAATTAATATGAAATGACAGATTATAATCGACCCTCCGCTGGGAGTTTGACTGACAGGCGATCTGACCAGTCATAACGCCGAATCTGACATTTTGTCCAACAAACTAACCAGACAGGAGAGTACATTAACATCGTTGGACTTGAACTTGAAAATGGTGTGCACTGACATTTTTTGGCAGTTGAAACCTTCTGATGTTCATTCATGTTTATTTTGTGCTATAACTAGTAAAGAGGAAGAGATAATCGGTTCACGCGCTGCTTGAACTGAGGCACTAAAGCGATCTGTCACAACACAATAAAGAGCCACAAAACGGTATTTATTGTTTGAATTTCTTAAAAAAAAAAAAAAAAAGACAGAATTTGAAAGCTGAGACTTTGTTTCATACCAAAAGTAACCTGCTCTGTCTTGTCTGTGAGCTCGTTGTCAGCTTCTTCTGTGCTCCGCAATATATTTTTCAATGCTTGATAACATGATGTGTAGCGTGAGAGCGCCATGGACGTAGCAACTAAGAGGGGTGGGTTTTTGCTAAGGGTCAATTACAGAATATCATGACTATAAAGTATTGTTGAAAACTAAGACTGATGCGCTAAAGACGGCACCAAATTTGACTTCTCCTGCAAACTAGCCAAGAAGTGCTTATGTGTTCTAGCAACTAGTTCCCCATCTGAAAGTTTTTAGTGCCATTGGGAACAGTGTCATGCCACAGAGCATCTCTTAAACCACAAACTGTTGATAGACTTGTGTTCCTCTTGGCTAAAAACTTGTGAAACACTTGCATAATTCACCCCAGTTGGCAAATGTGCAAAAAATGTCAATTTAATTGCTTCCAAGAAGCTGTCAGAATACACTTTTTGCACTCTTTTTACATATTGTTAGATTTAAATGTGTTAATTTAATTAAAAGAAGTAAATGGTCACATATTTAACCGTGTTTTTGCCACTAAACATTTTGAATGTGTTTAGAAACAATAGCGGTCTATCCAGATCATGTTGTATTCATTTTTAAATGGGGCAGAAGAAAATCACCAAATGCAAAAATATTGAGATATATGATTATTGTCAGAATTTGGAAAAATATTGAGACCAAATTTGAGGTATATTGCCCAGCCCTCCCAAATCGACCAAATTAGTATCTTAGTTCCCTGCATATGTTGTGATGCTACAAAATAATACAAATGAAAAGACTGTGCTACAAAACATACATAGCAGACACAAACAGCGGACAATCTAATGTTGTTGGTTTTGTTGGCAAAGACATTTTCATGAACATGTTGTACTTGTACAGAATAACAGTGATTGCTGTCTAAAAGCAGCACACTGAAGCTCAACGAACTGATTAAACAATATTGTGGAGATCCCGCTTTGTGTTAATGGCCAGAGAAGGCTAAACTTTACTTACTGCGGTGAGGTGTGAATTTGCTGGTAAACACTGTACACCTCTTGAATACTGCGTTCAACTTTTCTCTAAATTTAATGATAAAACAGGAAACAAAAAATGTGGAAGTGAATTAACCAAATAGAAAATGTGACAACAAGCCAAATGACATGCAGACAGAAAGATCCACTGTGGTCGATGCTGCTTGTGTATATGGGTGGCTGACATCACATCCTGTTCAGTGTGTCATGCAAAGACACAAAAATACCGCCTTATACATTCATTTTGAAAATCATAGTATGACTTAATTGTGCATACTGGAATGCCAAGTGCTTGAACTTTTCTAAAATTCAGAGCAGTAACAGTCACACTTTATTTTAAAAATGAAGAAACTGAAAATAATACAGTCTTTAAACGATTACATCATTAATAATACTATACATTTTGTTTTCCAAGTTTAAATAAATAATAACCTCTCATGGTTAACTGTCAACCACCCATATAACAATGCAGGTCATACACTACAGTGCAACATAACATAAACTAGTGAAGTATGAGCAGATTCTCCAACGTTTGCAAACGTTCACTCAGTAATGAAAAGTCTGACATCATTTAGACACGTTCATGTTCTCCCTAACATCTCCTTTTTGTGTTCACAACATGAGGCCGAGTAAATGATGACAGAATTTCAATTTTTGGTGAACTATCCCTTTAAATTAACCTATAGCTATTATTTACAAAAGTGTAATAAACTAGAGGAATAAGTACTAGGTGAGCTGGATGCAGTGGCATTAGTATAATTACATTCTGCACGTGCAGAACACCCTGCATGATTTTTGGTAAGCACTACTGTATCCCTCAGCAAAGTGATGAAGCACAGAAACAGAGTAAGTAGACAGTTAGCTTTGCGCTAATACCAATGAGCTAACTAATACTAAGAGTTAAGCTCACCTGTTCTTTCGAGGTCACCGTTTGCACGCCGTCATCGCTGAAAAGCTCAGAGGAGTGTGATTCACGAAAGCATCGCAGAGGAGGAGACGCCTCTTCCATGATGAGATTTGAAAACACATGCACTGTAACAGAAAGGAAGCAGTTTTCCAGCAGAGCAAGTGTCAAGACAGCGTGGGAGGGGTTTCCTCAATGGAGTCTTCTTCTTCTTCTTCTTCTTCTTCTTCTTCGTCTTTAGTTTTTTGGCGCATCTAAATGTATAGCGCCACCTACAGTACGTTGCTGTTGTGCAGTCATGTTATCTATTATCGTCAAAATGACTTATGAACATAACCAACAAAAAAAAACAAAAAACAATTATAATTCTCCATAAATTTGAAACTCTTCCCTTTACCAGATTCCCAGGTTCCAGGGACCCATCTGGCGCTGCGTCTCCAGTTCCTCCAGAACACTTCCCTGGTTCCCTACAATCCAGATCAAGCTACAGCATCCCAGATTGATTTTAAATCCCCTCGCTCAACCCTGTACTATAAATGTATTTTATTAGCAGCCTATATCCTACTATATCTTTATTAAACTCATATCCTAACAAGTACCCCAAATCCTTATTTACCTTTCCCTTTTTATTTAAGTATGTTATTAATTCCTTTCTTTCTTCGTCATATTTTTTACAATCGTACATTACATGCTCTACTGTTTCTTTTTCCCCAAAATACTCACATAAACCATTCTCATGTACTCCAGTAATAAATAGTGATGCATTCAGTCCTGTGTGTCCCAGTCTCATCCTTGTTATAATGACTTGTTCCCTCGTTTCTACCACTAATGTTTCGTTTATTATTAACATTTTTTATATTAAATAAATGCCTCCCCTTATTATCTGAATTCCATGTTTCTTGCCAATCCTTTAAAATATTTTCCATAATTATAGTTTTGACTTCACCTTTACTTAACCCTCATGCGGTGTTCGGGTCCTTTTTGCTCTGAAAAATGTTTATTTTTCCCGAAAATACTAGTTAATGTTATCGCATGGAATGAAATTTTGTGACTTCGTTCACAAAGGGTATAACTACTTCTACAAAAATTTTTGATCATTTTCATACTTTTCTGGGCGAGATTTTTTACCTTGTTACACTTGTGATGTTCCAGAGCAAAAATGACCCGGCCTCAAAAAAATGCTTATAAATCACTCATTATGCTATATTATCAACAAAGATTGGATTCAATCTTTTTGTCAACTTCTTATCTTTCATTTAGGACTGGTTTTGTATTTATATTTGCTTCTGATTAATCGTTGG